TTTGTTTTTAAATATTATTAATAAACAATTTGCCAAAATGATAAATAACACCAAAAATAATCCAAATGTTTTTAGGAATAACATGTAAAGAAAATTTTTAAATATTAGTAATAAACAACTTGCCAATTGCCAAAATTATAAAGATAACACACAACCTGCCATCAATAGAAATTGAAAAACAGAGATTAGATGATTTATTGTAACATGAAGCTTATATTTAAAACTAGATGAATTCCTGCGCGTTGCGCAGCGAAAATTAAAAATATATTGTTAAAATATTGAAAAATATATGTTTAAAATGGTTATGTTATCGTCATTAACTTTGAGATAATATTTTTACACTAATATATATATATATATTATATATATATATATATATATATATATATAATATATATATATATATATATATATATATATATATATATAACCAATAAGGAGAAGACAAATGTAATATTAGAATAAAAGTAATTGTTATATTATGGTAATTTAAAAGTTTACACGGAAGGATAAAATTGAGATTTTACATGTTGGTTTTATGGACGGTTATAATCATTTGTTTCCACTATCTTTGCTATTCAATCTCCTTCTCTCTCCAGTGATTTGTCCCTCCGACCTCCCACCCACCCTCTCCATCGGCTTCTTCTGCCTGTTGCCGCGAACTCAATACCAATTGTAACATTGAAAGAAAAATGGGGAAGCAAACAAAATCTAAAAGATCAGACTGGTCAATCGGCAAAAGAAAGATAAACCATTTTGGTGAAATCGATCCAATTTTGGATCTAAAGCTTCACATTTTCTCACCAAATCACCGGTTGATGTGGTACCCATTTCACTTTTTTCTTCTTATATTTTTCGTAGTTATTGATTTCCCTTTCGTGGATTTGGATTTTGATATTGAAGGTTCTTTGTAGGTCTCGGAGGATTTATTGACTTTCATTTAAAATAATAGAAGGTGATGTTTGTCGACCCAACCTTCGGCGAAAATCCAAAGGTGTGGATGGTAATGGTAGCGGTTTTGTGACACACAGGAACATGACAGACTTTGATTACACATGCACCAGGTTTTTTACTTGATGGTACCTCTCTTTCCTTCTCTCAATAACTCAACGATTGTGGTATCTCAGAACCCTAACCCAAAATCGGTTCATTCAAGATATCTCAATCTTTTTAAATTATTAGTTGTCACCCTTATCTACGACACAAGTGAGTTAGTCTACTAACAAGATTCGATTTTGTGTTAATCGGTATCATAAATTTATTTTCCTGATCTACTCTTACATCTTCATCTTTTTTTTCAAAATTAGTGATTTATAAGAACAACTATGAAAAGTAAGTGTGAACTATTACACGTCTACATGAAGAGGATAAAATGATGTATGAAGTTGTTGGAGTGTTTTCTGGAAATGAGAAACCTAGTATTTTTGTTCCAACAAATTATTTGAATTCATTTCAATGGTTGTATGTTGATGTTGGTGGGATTGTTTTATGTTGATGATACAAGTAGTCTTTCAAGTGCCTTTGAGTCATTTACAAAACTTGAAAACTTTAAAGATGAAGAAATGAAGTTTACATGTACAACTGTAAGGAAAAAGTGTCTGCTGATAAACAACTTATGTTTTTCGTTTAAAAAGATTAAGAAATTATGGCTCTAATGTGGAGAAAATAGATAAACATGTTTAATTTCCTCCTGAGTTGGACTTGCAGCTAGGGGTGTTGAAAAAACCAATACCTGAATAAATCAGCTGAACCATTTATGATTCGGGTAGACTGGGTTGTATTAATCGAGTTTTGGGTAAGCTATATTGGGTAATCTCTTAACCCGTTGTAATTATAATTTGGGTTTCGGGTAGGAAAGTTTAGAAGCGAGTATACCCGAATACCTGATGTACTTCACTACTCCAGGGACTAATTATGGAACATTGAAGAATTGAAGGTCTATTACTCTATGTACTCCAATTGCTTAAGCCAATGCTCATTCATGGTAAGTTTTTGGTGTCATGTTTGTCTCTTTTACCTCACTTTGGTATTTTAGTTTCTTCCAAACTCATATGGGTTTCTTACAAATTGGTTACCAAATGTTATAATGCTTTTAGAATTTGTTAATAGCTTAAGTTGTATGGTTTTCTTTAAAAAATTTAAAATTCTGTCATGAAATTTTTAAATGTTGCAATGTAATTTATAAAGACATGGCTTTGGTTTTAAAATTGACATTTAACTCTTCAACTTTTGCTTTCTAAATTGATATATACCATTTTAGTTTGTAAATTAGTGAATGTTGGAAAGAACTTGTGGAATTAGGCTCTGTAACAATTTTTGTTAATTAAATAATAATCTATATGTGCTACTAGTGCTTCAAGTAGGTTAATTTAAAATCAATGATGTGGATCACTAATAGTCATTTAAAGCGCTCAAGTTAGTTATCTTTATCTTTAGGCGTAAGTTAATTTATACTACAAAATTGAATTTAATGGTCTAAATATGTGATTTCAATACCATTGAATATAGTTTTCCTTTTTGATTTAAAATAGTAGGGATAAATTAAGTAAGATGCATCTTGGAGTACCTGATGTTTAGAGGTTTCCCTTGCTGAAATGATTTGATTTTTTCTTAGCTCTGTTCAGGTATCTGTCTAAATAACCGATCCTACCGAAAATCCTAATAACTGATATGTAATTCACGTGATCAATAGCTCTACTTGCAGCCTTGCACATGTGGATTGGAATGTTGCAGGTTTGCAGACGTAACAACGATGGCTTCTGGGTTAAAGATGAATGGAGCGATGGTGGTGGCTTGACGTGTTGCATGTTTGGAGACGAGATAGGAAGGAAATTTATGGTAGCAAGTCGTATTTGGTGATCGGTGACCCAAAGGAGATGGAAGTTAGTGAGAGAAAGATGATATGGGATCTTAACTTTTTAAACAAAAAACAATTGTTTTTGTAGATTGAAAATATGAAAGTCAATGTTTCATCTACGTTTCAGTTTTCTATGGTGAAATTCAGAATTTTCTTTACACTAATATGAAGAGATTGTTATATTTTAATTTTAATTTTTGGTGCATCATAATCTTTCTAATTTATTTTGTTAGAATATTGAAGTCGTGATTGATACAAATTTTGGTCTTAAAGTAGCCTTTTCACTTTGCAAAAAAATAAAAATGATGATGTGAATAAAAAAAAAGTTAAATTTTGGTACCAAATGTCTTTGAGCTAATTCTGTGAAATAAAATATATGTTAAAGTTTGATTTTATAGTAAAAAAGAAAAAAAAAGTTTTAATTTCTTCTCAGTCGTATTATGTAATTTAGGTGTGTGTAAGTTATGTGTTAAAAGTGGGGTGGAATGGAAGTTATAATGGATTTAATATGAATTACGAAAATGTCCTTGAAGATAACAGTTTTATTTTCGAATATGATTTATATTAAAACATATGATTAATGATGTGTTATTTTCTGATTGGTTCTTTTCATTTTCGCAAATTAATTGTATTTTCGCATGAGCATTCCCATATATATATATATATATATATATATATATATATATATATATATATATATACATAATCTCTATTATTTTGAACAATAATATTCATTGACATCAAACCACATTCCTCATTAATAGAATTAAATATAATTATCTATTTAGTATTATTTTTAACAATTATTATTATTGATTAATTATATTTTTACTTATGCGATCATTTTCTAATTTCAATAATGATGTTCATTTAAAATACAATTTATTTATAGCTAAATGTAATTTATAATTTAATGTTATTATCATTTAAAATTGATATTCATTAGTTTTAAACCACTTATTATTAATAATAAGTTAAAGAAGACTTTTAAGAAACACTTAATATTATTATTAAAATGTGAAACATACACTAAATAATAAAGTGATAAGATAGACAATTTGCATTTCAAAAGAGACTTGCATGGATAATATGACATATCCATGTAATTTGATTTTATTATTTATAATTATTGCTTATTAATTTTAAAATCACTTGTTGTTATTAATAAGTGAAAGAAACTTTTTAAAAAACACTTATTGTTATAATTAAAATGTTAAACATATACTAAAATATAAAGTGATAAGATAGACAATTTGCATTTTAAAAAAGGCTTACATGGATAATATAGATAATATGACATATCCATGATTTTTAATTAATTATTGTTTTGAAGCAACATGAACATACAAACATGTATACAATAGTTAATTAAATATTATATATATCATCTTCCATAACATATGATCGATAACATGAATCTAATCTAATTTACATTAAAATTTCAACCACGACATACAATGATATTCTTAAAAGAATACTAAATCAAGAAAATACAAAAAAAGAATTAGTATATAAAAACTTACAAATTAAAAACTTCAACGTAATAACATGGCTCGAAAAAAAATTCAAAGCCCTCAAACCAACACAAAAAACTTTAAATTTGTTTTCTTTGTGAATTTTGTATGTGATTTGTATTTGTGTGTCTACTCAAAAAGATTGACCTTTTTATATTAGAGTATCCATTAATTGTTTATTAAATATATTATATAAGTTATAAAACCTTTGATTTGTTAATCATTATTAAGAGACTTTTGAGTGGTATTCATTAAAATAGGAGGTTTCAAATGCATGAGGTGTTTGCAAATTTTTATGGGGGTTTCAAATGCATGAGGTTCAAAGAAAAATGCTAGCTTTATAAGTATGTATGATTCCTTTTTATTGTAAAGTTATTTTTATTAGGCATTTGTGTTTACATGTTTTAATTTATAAAACATTCTTCTTTGATTTTTAATTTTTTTCTATACTACTAATTATTTGTATTTTGTATATTTAATATATTAGATATTTATTCAAAAAATAATAATATAAATTTATATATCTATTATAATGGAGTCAAATTTACTTCCACAATCAACAATAATGTTTTAATAATTATAACCTATTTTATTATCTCTTCTAATATAAAACTAAACACTAACCAGGATTACCCTACCTGTTCATGTGCAAATTTAAAGTCGTCCAAGTTCAAAGCCCGAATATCAGAACTCTCGCTTAGAGCTGGGGCCGGTTTGCCTTCTGCTATAGCTGCAGCATGCTCCTGAATCATTCATCCAATTCATATCATATCAATCCATCCACAAAAACTAAAAGTTTAAAAAATACCTAAAATACTGTCTGTAACTTGTATTTACTTACATTTTTCTCCTTTTCTATGATTTCTCTAATCGGACAATGCCCCGCAGTTACACATAGATTCTGTAATGCAATGCAATATAAAATAGACAAAATTTCACAATTGGTCCCTGTGGTTTACAGAATATCGCACTTTGAGGACTTCCTAGCAAAAAGTCACGCGAATGGTCCTTAAGGTTTCATTTCATTGCGCGATTGGTCCTTGACCCTAACCTCGTCACTTTTGTACCGTTAGTGAAGGGGTAAATTTGTCTTTTCATCTTGTTATGCATCAGAGTATATAATGTAAGCCCCACCTTTGTATCGTTCTACTTCTCGTTCCTTACCTCTGTTCTTCCCTCCCCACTCACATTCTATTCCAAAATAGAAGAAGATGGTGATATGCCACTGTGGAAGGCCGACGATTTTGGTGACATCGTGGACTGATTTGAACCCAGGTCGTCGATTCTGGTCATGCTCAAGGTTAGAAGGAACATGCAGCTTTTTTGGATGGTTTGACCCTCCCATGTGCCCTAGGTCAAATGTTGTGATTCTAGGGTTGTTGCGTGGAAGAAACAATCTCGAAGCAAGATTGATGATGGTGAAATGGTTACTTTGTCTGAGTTGGTTGTTTTTCTTGGTGTGTTACTTTTTCAAGTAAAAAATCTAGAAGCTTTTGGGGGGAAATCTGTGATTTGGAATCTGTGTTTTGTTCCCATTTTTGTTTTAGCTTTTGAAGGATTTTCCCTGTGATTGTATGTAATGTTGGGACAAGAAAATGTAATGGATATTATATGTAATGTAAGTTTGATGTTTAGTTTTAATGTGATGGATATTATATTAGTAAGGAAGCAAATTGTCAATTTGATTGCATGTAAGTGTAATGTTGATTATTAATGTGCAGTAACATAACCAAAAAATTAATTACCAAAGTGACATTACCATTAACCACAATGCATGTAAGTGCAATATCATGTTACAAACATACAATACCCAAAATACCTATCAAAAGTAATTGTTTTGACTGACATACCATAACCAAACTTAGTAAACATGTTCTAACTTTACTTAGACATAATAGCAAAAGATTACTTAAAACTACAAACTAAGCTACAACATGTTTCCCCTTCTTCTATCCACTCCCCTTTCCAGCTTCACTAGGACCTCCCTGCCCTTTGCATGTCTTGGCATTGTGACCTTTGTTGTGGCATTTGCTGCAAGTGACTGTCAAGTATTTCCTACTTAACTTGGTACTTTGAGTTGGCTCATCAACTACCCTCTTCCTTTTTTCTTTGGCCTGCCAACCTATAAACAAATTTATATGGTTACATATCAACAAGTTTATTAAATAGTTTCAAGTTAAATTATACAAAACATGTATAACAACAAACATGTTTGTGATGTTTGGGTGGGAGAAGGGTTGTTGGACAATCAGATCTAGTCCACATGCTCCTTCCATTTATTGGGTCAATTGTGTGTTGGTACATAGCATTCCATGTACTAAGCCAGTAACATTTGCTCACCCAAGCCTCAGGATCTCCACATTCTGACCCATTCTGCATCTTATCATACATTGCAGCAATAACATGCTGGCATGGAATACCTATAATGTCCCATTTCCTGCAAGTGCAACTCCTCTCTTTCAAGTTCACAACATACTGCACCATCCATAGACCAATTACTTGATATTTATCAGCTCCACTAAATAGAACCCTCATCTTATTTGCCTCTGTCTTATTGTTTTCTAAGATTGTTGTTGCAGTTGTACTTAGAGAACCTTTGCATTTGTCTAACACCTTATAAACATTTACTATTCTCTTTGTGAGGTATTCTCTAATATATTCCAAACAAGTGATTATAGGCTTGTCCCTTGCCTCATCTAACTTGGAGTTAAATACCTCACACAAGTTATTTGTCAAACTATCAGTCAATGCCCTTCCTATATATAAAACCAAACAATTAATTTATGAAATCAGTTATGAAATATGTTAGTGAAAAGAGTATGATACTTACCAGAGAAATGGGATCTTGCCCAGTGTTTTGCAGGAATTTTACTTAACCACTCATGTGCTTCTGGGTTAAGCTTTTTCAGTTTCTCCATAGCCCTATTAAATTTTGGTATGTTGTATACTGTTCCACAACACCATACTGCTTCCCACAATTCATCTCCTTTGTGTTTCAATTTCATGTTGTCATACACATGTCTTAAACAGAACCTTTGCTCAGCTGATGGAAATAGCTTCTCTATTGCAGCCAAGATTCCCTGTGAGTACAATTAAAATAAGTTAGTAAATGAAAATTAAAAAAAAGTAAAAGTTATTGAAGTTAGAGGGTACCTTTTGCCGATCTGAAATGAAAATGAAGTTAGATGAAGAATTCAAATCTAAGTCATCACCCAAGTGTTCCAAAAACCATGTCCAAGAGTTAATATTTTCAGTCTCTACAATGGCATATGCAACTGGGTAAATGCCATTGTTCGAATCAAGCCCAACTGCAGTGAGAATCTGTCCAGGAAAGGGACCCTTCAAAAACGTACCATCAAATCCAAGAAAATCCCTCAAACCTATTTTAAATCCCTCCTTCAATGGACCTAAGCATGTATATATATATATATATATATATATATATATACGTTTGAAGATCCTTGTTTCAGAACACAAATTGGGTTCAGTTTCGACATCTATCTTCACAGTTGTTCCTGGATTCTTTGACTTCAATTCCATGGCATATTCTCTCAAAATACCATATTGCTTTTCATAATCACCATAAACATATTGTTTTGCCATAGCTTTGGCCCGGAATACTTTCATCTCTGATATTGAAAGTGAATACCTCTGTACTAAGTCCTCCTGTAAAGCACGTGTAGGGATCTTGGGGTTACTTTCAACTTGATGCAATATGTTTTTAGCTAGAAACTTAGATGAACAAGCCCTCACTGTCCTTGTTTGCATACAAGAATGACAATCTTCGTATGTTTTGACTGTCAAAACTTTTTTTTTTCATCTGCCCTAGATATAAAAAGAACCCATGGACAAGTTGTTTTCTTGGAAAGTACTAAATTGCCCCTACCTTTATTACTGTCACCAGTCAATTCAGGGACAAGACCCCTACACTTTACCCTAACTCTTGTCTTATCATTATTTACGTAAGAGTAAATTACACGAATGGTCCCTATGGTTTAGGGTAATTTGCACGTTTGGTCCCTAACTTATTTTTTTAACTCGGAAGGTCCATACTGTTTGTTTTTGTTTCACGTTTGGTCCCTGTCTTATCTAAAAAGACTATTTTGCCCTTGATTTTTTAATTTATTTAAATAAACACACCCCAACCCCACCCTCTCACCTTACATTTACCTATCCCACCATGTTTTCCTATTTAAATAATAGTCTTTTTAGGTACGACAGGGACCAAACGCGTAACAAAAACAAACAGTAGGGACCTTCCGAGTTAAAAAAATAAGTTAGGGACCAAACGTGCAAATTATCCCAAACCATAGGGACCATTCGTGTAATTTACTCTTTATATAATGTAGATCCCTCCTTTCTTTTACAGAGTAGTTGGCAATAACTTCTCTGATCTTTTCCTTTTCCTAGAACGTCTGACCAATCTTAAAAGCTTTAGTATGAACCTCACCAGATGAACAAGCAACTGGTTTTAGAATGGACTTTAACAATTTATTTCTAGGCTCTTGTTCACTAGCAAATGACTCAAACACATCATTATCTAAGACTTCTAAAGGTTCATCTTCAATGTCTTCATGTTCCTCTGTATCATTGTTTGTCGGATCAGGCTGCCCCAAGTCAATGTCTTTATCAAGTACACTACAGAAGTTGATCATGTTCACCTCCACATCATCTATCAAAGGTTCCTCATCAAACACTGTTTTTTTGCATCATGTTGACTATTAAATTCACTTTCATCTACATTATCCTCACAATAATATTCATCATCTACAACTGGTTCATTATTCATAACTGGCTCATCATATTCATCATCTATGATTGGCTCATCAGTCATAACTGGCACATCATTCATGACTGGCTCATCATCCATAACTGGCTCATTATCCTTTATCACTTGTGAAGGTCCATCAAATGTTCCATATGGCACAATGGACTGGGAGTAGTCTAATTTTTTCCTAGAAGATCCAACAACTTTCCCCTTCTTTTGGTTCCTATCTAGTTCAGGGGAGACATAGTAACCAACTCCTCAATAATAACTTTGGTGGGGGACAAAAAATAACTGTTAACCCTTGTATGCCCATGCTCTATGTAGATACTTAAAAGGTTATTTTTTTTCCATATAATTTGACAATACATGCGCATCCCCATCATTTCCTAGAGGTAACAGACCAAAGTCCAACTCTACTTCTAGAATAAGAAAATGATAATACAAAGTTTTCCCTTTTACGTACCCTATTTCTCGAACCATTGTATCCAACTCATGCACAGAGAAAACATCAATATCTACGAAGTCAACATAGTCTATTGTTCCATTTACGTACCTTCTCCCAGGGCTTTTCGTGAATATCCCACCATGATGGATTTTCAGAGTGAAGTAGTTGCTTATTCCCTTTGAAATAAAGAATAACAAAAAAAAATTCAACTATTTGGGCGTAATATCAAATCGACAAAATCAAAGATCACTTTAGTAAGTCACTTATGGTATATCCTTTCCAAATCATAGTTTGATGCTTTTGTGTGTTTGGAACGGACTGACCATAACGTTAACACCATTATCGTTTTCAATCGGAAGATGTTCCTCGCCTTGTGTTCTGTTGGAGAAGACAAAGATGAATGCGAAAGGGTAATGGGTAGCTGGGGAAGATGATCTTTGTACTTAATTGCAGAGATCATGCGTATATTATGTGCATAATGAAGGATTATTAGAGCGACTGCGAGATGAAAAGACAAATTTACCCCTTCACTAACGGTACAAAAGTGACGGGGTTAGGGTCAATGACCAATCGCGCAATGAAATGAAACCTTAAGGACCATTCGCGTGACTCTTTGCTAGGAAGTCCTCAAAGTGCGATATTCTGTAAACCACAGGGACCAATTGTGAAATTTTGTCAATAAAATAAAATATCATCACAAATAAGCACCTTCGACATTATTAATTTTCAATTAAAAAAAAAACAACAAACCTTTAGGTCACTTCCAGAGTATCCCTCGGTCATGCTAGCCACTACATCCAAATCTATATCAGGAGATAAATCCTCTTTTGCCAGTATTACCTTTAATATCTTTGCTCTATTCGCCGCGTCTGGTAAATTCACCATCAATCTAAAACCCATACACAAAAGACACCTTCGCGATTGAGGTTTCAGAATCTTTGTTCATTAATGCTCAATCTTCTGGACTGAATCTATCAGAGTAAGACGCCCATAAACTCAACATATTGCTATCCGAACATGGTTGGTTAACTTATACAAAACCAAAAATGATACATCAATCTTTTATTCATACCTTTCGTCATTAGTAGAAACGTTGTTATATTGCCTGATTCCATCAAGGACACCTTGCGTTTTGAAGCAAATTACAAGCTTGTAAATCAAAAATCAAACTCCACAACAAGAACACACGTTACACTTTCATGTATATTGCATACAAAGTGTTTGATGAAATGCTTCCTAGTATATTGCATACAAGGTGTTTGATGAAATGCTTCCAATATACCACCAATGCACCCAAAAACATCAATATTATCATTTCCAAAGTTCAATCTGGAGCAACTTATGATGAAATTTTCCAGTCTCTCATGCATGATCAAGCATGTAGTACCATACCCATCTCTGACACCCTTCTTTCTCACCTTCTACACCGATTCAAAGACGATTGGAAGTCAGCGTTGGGAGTATTCAAATGGGCAGAATCCATTAAAGGTCACACACCATTACCAAAATCATACGAGATACTCCTTGACATATTAGGAAAAACAAAACAGATAGAAAAGATGATGTCACTAGTCAACCAAATACATCATCATCATCATCATGTTACACTTGGTAGTATCACCAAGGTTATGAGAAGGCTTTGTGGGGTAGGAAAATGGCAAGAAGCTGTAAAGATTTTTGATGACTTACACACATTTGGGTTAGAAAAGAACAGTGAATCCATGAATCTTTTACTTGACACTTTGTGCAAAGAGAATAAAGTTGAACAAGCTCGCAAGATTTTCTTGATGTTAAAATCATGCATCCCACCTACTCCTCATACTTTTAACATATTCATACATGGTTGGTGTAAAGTTAAAAGGGTTGATGAAGCACATTGGACAATTCAAGAAATGAAAGGGTACGGATTTAGTCCCTCTGTTATCACGTACTCAACAATCATCAAGTCATATTGTCAAGATTCTGAATTCGGTAAAGTCTATGAGTTACTCAACGAGATGAAAGTACAAAATTGCCCTCCTAATGTCGTAACATTTACTATAATCATGTGTTACTTGACAAAATTTGGGGAATTTGAGGAAGCATTGGGAATCCCTGAAAAAATGAAATCTTTTGGATGTGAACCCGATACGCTTTTTTACAATTCCTTGATTCATACATTAGCAAAATCCGGGAAAATTCAAGAGGCGATTTATGTGTTTGAAGTTGAAATGGTAAGATTTAAGGTTTCTAGAACTACATCAACTTTTAATACGATGATTGCAATGTTTTGTCATCATGGGAAAGATGAAGAAGCGATGAATGTGTTGAAGAATATGGAGAATTTGGGAAATTGTAAACCGGATATTCAGTCGTTTAATCCTTTATTGAAGATGTGGTTAAGAACAAGAAAAGTGGATTTATGGTTGAGTGATTTGTTGGATGAAATGGTTAATAAGTATAATCTTAGTCTTGATTTGTGTACGTATAGTCTTTTGATTCATGGGTTATGTAGAGTTAATGAATGTGAGTGGGCGTATGGATTATTTAAGGAGATGATAGGTAAAGATATTACACCGAGGTATTATACATGTGCTTTACTTTTGGAGGAAATTAAAGAGATGAAGAATTATGATGCTGCTGGTTTTATTGAAGGATATATGAAGCGTATGAAATCATCTTGAGCACCAAATCTTGATCAACATGTTGCACTTTTGTTGTTTTTGTTAAGATTTGAAATGGGATGAGTTTAAACTTGATACAGAAGACAAGCATTTGCAAATTGTTTAAGGAATTTATTCACCATTTTCATTTGACAATAATTTTGTTAACAACCCATCTTTAATGTTTTATCATATGGAAATCTCATAAGTATATGACATTATTTGCAATTATGTATCAAGCAATAAAGTAAATTCATAAGCTTTCATAATTTTTGCTAAGAACAATTTAAAACCTTTTACATTTCATAAAGAGATAAATGATATTTCAAAAAGATGTTTTTTACATGTGTCCCATGTTAAAAAATATGACCATGTACTAAGAAGTTAGGTTGTCTAACTTCTAATCTTGTCATTGTCCAATTATTTCCTTCAAACCTAGTGAGTTGTCCCATTATAATGGTTTAATCATCAGTAATGTATTCAACACATGTAGATAAACTTCCATATTATGTCAACGCAAGTATTCTATCATTTATTTCATCCTAATATATTCTTTATGATATTACATGGCTTTTTCCCAATATACAATACTTGTCATTTTTTAATTTCAACCTAAGAGATATACCCTTGTCTAGAGGTATGGTTAACCAAATGACTTCTAACCCAGTGGTATCTGATGTTGTCCTCCTTCTTTGAGGTTGATGGTTTAAGTCTTACTGTGGACATATGTGGAATAATTTAGGAGTAGTTTATAGTACATTTGTCGTTTCAAAAAAAAAGTGGTATGGTTAAATTCACATTCAACTAACCAATTTTGGTCCCTTTAATCAACATAAATACACATACAAATAGAAAGGAGTCAAACAAACTATTTTCTGCATTGTATGAGAGATCCTACTCTTCTGTCATATGTGTGCTTGATGAATGATTCTTTCCAAGAGTAACTAACATATATTTACATATTTACATGACATGAGAAACAAATTTAAAAAAATAAAAAGGGATGTTGAACACATATGACTATTTCTGAATATCTGTAATCTGGTCATCTCAGTTGCTTATGTGAGTCTTTAGATATTCAATGTTTTCTTAATGATCTTCTCCTATATTACGTCCTAGCAAAAGCAGTTCATTCTCAAGCTTCTGCAAAGATAAATAAGCAACATAAGTATAAAAAAAAAAAAAAATTCACCATAACATCTTAACCGGATTACCATTTTACCCCCATTAGTACATATGGCAACTTACCTATTCTATATTATATATGCTCTGTTGGTGTGGTTATCTCAATCATCGACAATTTCATAAATGATAAAGCATAAGATCATCCCTAAACCTAATAAACCAAATAAATCAACAATTACACAAATGATAAACCATAAAACCAATAATCCTCCCTAATAAATAAAGAACTTTTTGTCACATGTCCTCTTTTCTTTCATTTGGACACATGACTTATAATTCTCCCTAATAAACAAAGAACTTTTTGTCACATGTCCTCTTTTCTTTCATTTGGACATATGACATATTCTAGAATTTTTGAATTTTCTATTTTCCACTTGTCATTTTATTGTATTTTTCATTTTATTAAATTAAAATTTCATATTTAATATGTAAGGTAATATATATGTAAGGTATTTATTAGAAAGGGTTTATATATGTAATGTATTCAATACATTAAAGCTTCATTAATTTTAATAATTCAAAATTTTTCTCATTTTTCCTATAAATTCAAACTTTTCAAATTGTTAAAAGTTTATATTTATTTTTTTAAATAAACCCATGTAATCCATCTCACACCTAGTTTCATAAATAATACACATAATTAATGATAAATAAAAAGGGAAAGTAAACCTTGATTGAGTTAATTGAAGTTATGTTAAAACTATTCAAATGATTTGTATCTTGATTGAGTTAATTGAAGTTATGTTAAAACTATTCAAATGATTTGTATCTTGAAATCCATTTCATGCAACTTTAACATACACACAAGCAGAGAATGAGAGAGAGTTATGTATGTGTTGGGTTTTTATTCAAAAAATCCGGTTTCACAACCGATAAAATTGACAACGGAAGCTTTAAAAATGTTGAATAAAACTAAAACTATTTTACCCACCAATGATCATTTTGCAAGAGTTAGGAAGATTAAAACAACCATAGAAGGGAAAGTATAACAACCTTTGAAGACTTTGATCCTCATGAGAGGTTGGAAGTTGATGAAGCGTGGCATGAAACTCTAAAGCAAGAGTTCTCTACAAGTATCCACCAAGCAAGAGTAGAACCATCAAAACATGCAAGTATTCACTTGTAATTTGTTGTTCATAAGCCTTTGAAATATATACCAAATATATGTTCAAAGGTGAAGCAACAAAAGGGACATTCTTTTAACATCAAATGCAAGAGAATGGAGGAGAAGAAGGATGCTTTAACTTCGAAATTTGGCAGCCTCTTGTGAGCACTTTTGCTCTCGGTTTTGCTAGCCAAAGAAGAGGAAGAATCAAGGCTTTCAAGCATCCATTCTAACCTTTCATGCCCTCCCTTATATAGAGGCCAAAAAAGCAAAGGGAGACCATAAAGTAAAAGAGGGAGAACTTTGTCCCAAGCATGGCAAAAGAAGACCATGCTTGGTCTCCTTACAATTTTCGAAAAAGGCATGTCCAAAAGAAGACAAAAGTTGTCTCATGGCTAGTTTTTTATACACATACATGTTATCTTTATAAAAATCAAGTATTTTTATAAAGAATTCCCAACATATATATATATATATATATATATATATATATATATATATATATCTTATTTTATATAAAACTATCTTTTATATAAATTGTAACTAGCTTATTAAGATATAAATATGAATATATAAATATCTTATATTATATAAAACTATCTTTTTATAAAATTGAACTAGTTTATTAAGATATGAATATAACTTATAAATAATCATACTTTATGATATATTTCATAAGTTGTTATTTCTCCAATAAATATTATATCCATAAATAATAAATTCTCAATTGGTAAAATATTATTTCCATGAAATAATAATTTTCCAATTAAATACAAATGTTGATATATTTATTAATAATCAAATTATAATAATAAATAATCAATTGACAGTAACTTGCTATATGGTGTGACCCTATAGGATCATATATTATTAGTAATATCATTCTATAATGACTCTTGGGCATACTAGGTCTTTCAATCTCCCACTTGCACAAGACTCATCATAGATTGATATATACAGTTGTGAACGTCTAGCAACATTTCACTTCCCCCAATAACATATGGCGAAGAATACCATTCATCAACATCCAATTCCCAAAAGCTCTAAGCTTCAATTGATGTATTAAGGTAAGTTTATCAATTATCCCTTTGTTACAGACATCCTGTTGAAACATGAGCCTTGGATCGCAATCAATCTCATTTGTAATTCAACTTTGGGTAACGCGTGTTAGATGTCTAACTCTCAACGAATGAGAGGAACAAATCCCATCTTGACTACATAAGCCTCTTGTATAGTTCACACCATACCCGAATATCACTTTTATAACTACCCGGTTAAGGAACAACATTTTGTCATATCAAAGCACAGTACTCCCTATACTCAAGTCCTACTATGTATCTCAGGTGTTAAGGATACAAAGATAGTACATTTTAATCAAGTATCACTCATAACTACGATCTATGAGATGATCTTGATGCGGGTCCGTTCAGTACTAGTTCTCTGACAAGTACCTATGAAACTTGGTTACAACCACTTGCCTACTTTCACTAGTGAGAGTCAACCAATCCATTTCATATTAGTCTTACTTCATAATTGCTCCCACAATCATGACCGACTATGAACCTTTAGAATAATAGGATTATTCATGGATTAAACATGTTAATATAGAACACAACAAGTATTAATGTAATGATCATATCCCAGTATATCAAAACATATTTAATAGTTGTTGTTACAATGTTCCAATATCCAAATACTAAATTCAAATCAAAATCCCATTACTAGAATAATAAAAGTCTTATGGCTGAAGTGTGACCACTCATACTTAGCTTAAAAGGAAAGACTTTATCAATGGGTTCGACTAAATTTAATTTGTTTGAATTCTGCGAATACAATCATCTCCATATTTGACATTACTCTAAGTATAGTAAAATATTTTGGAGAATATAATTGGTGCTCTTATGTGACATAGAGTTTCTTAGCTTGATTAAGTACACTCTATTACTCACAAAATATTTCTAGGTTATCCCTGAATGGGAGGATTCAACCTAGTTTTTCAATGATCTAGTTCATCCATTTATATTTGATTTCAACTTCTGAAAAGTAGTGTATTCTTATTTAGTAGATAGAGCTATTTTGTTTTTGCTTGGATCTCATTCCAACTAAACTTACTCTTTATTCCATAATGAAGTCATAATCCAATTATAATTCATAATTATCAATATTTATTTAGAAATTAAAATCATATGTAGCTCTTTACATTAAGATTTTATTCTAAACTAATTATCTCATATACATTCTCTTAGCTCTTCTTAAGTACTCTTAGAATGTTATCACAATCATCTAGTGACTTAACCATTTATTCAATTTGTATCTCATGATATGACATGATGTATTCATTTTCCAAGAAAATAGAATATAAATAATTTCATCTAGCTCAACCTATGTGCTAGGTCCATTTGAGACAAACTCAAAATGGGGTCATGTGACAATGTCAAGAATCTTCCAAAGGAATCTTGTATCTTGACCTCTTTCAAGATATTGTCATTTCGTGCAAAAGAATTTTAAAACCTTTAACATTCATCTTTATCTATCTCTTATAGATTTTACATTCCAAGAATGTATCTTGTCATTCCTAAGTTTTTCATTTTAACTAGGGGATTTTAGTAAACTAATCAATACAAATGAGTATTTTAATAAAAAGGGCCATTTTTTCAAAATTTGGGAAATGACCACCAACTCCAGAATAGAGTATTCCACAGCAGTAAAGGTCATTCCTTACTTGGTGGTG